AGCGTCGCAGGGGCACGATCCTGCGCAGCCTTTTGGACTCTACAGAGCACGTGACGTAGTCTTAAGCCTCAAAAAGAATGAAATAAAAAGTGAGTTACTAAAGAAATGATAAAAGAGATGGGGTGATCATTTGTAAAGGGGTAGGAGCATGTGTGCTGTTCCATCGGCGGCAGCAGGGTGCCGGAGATGCACAGATCGGTCGACAGACAGTGAGAGGGGCTGAACCACAGAAACCAGTCCCTCCCCTAGCAGAGCTCCGGCCGGACGACCTTCAACTTGACTTTGCTCATTTGCTAAACGCCCGGCGGCCTGCGTGCTTCCCTTCTTCCTGTCTCGCTTTTTTTTTATTCTTATCTCTCAAGCACGATCGACACTCCCTTTATTTCTCGTGGCTTTTCCCGTACAGCTTCAGAGCTCCCTCCGCCACGAAGATGCATGGTGTTTGCGTTTCCCTTGCTCGGCAGGCTGGTAGCGTTTGTATATTTAATGCATTCGTGAAGTGGCGACGTGTTCTGCCCAGGCGGCGTTATCGTCTCGGTTCTTACAGTGTTGGCTGCTTGCACATATCTCAACGAGCTCTCTGTTGTATGTGAATAAGCATGTGTAAGACTATCCGTGTAGCTGAATGCACGGTCCTGTGTGGTTGTCCTTGTCAGCCGGAAGAGAGATTGTCTGCTTCTGGGGCCAGATCTTTTCGCATGCCACCGCGTCGTCTTTACTGTTGTTGTGCCGAGTGATTGTGCCAGGAACTCGGGTCCCGTACATTTAGCGGTGGGAAATAGCGCTTCAAGCATTCAATGCGCAGTGCTAATCAGGTTTTACTCTACGAAAGAGTTTTTCTCTGTTAGTAAATAGAGGAATTCGATTGCGTACTTCGAGCTTGCCGTTATTGAATATTTTTAAAAAATAGTTGGCAGTCGAAGCCGCATACTGCATCGCTGGTCTTTGTGCCACAGTCCTTCTTCGCATTTTAAGAGAGCAGTGACATCTGCAACTTGGTAAAGGATTGAGATGGTTTGTGATTTATCGTGAGGCTTTAGCAGCGCGAACATAAACGAATGCAGTGAGAAAGAAATGCATGAACTGGTCAAGACCTGTTTTATAATGCTAATGTATTTCTTGGATGACTGAGCGTTTTTGTGGAGAGTCGCCTGGAAAAAACATCCGTTCATCTCTTTGTGAGCTCACAGAATCATCGGGACCCTCATTACAAAAGATGATCGTCAGGGTGGGGGGATCGATGGGGTCACAGACTGAGTTCAAAAAGACGACATGACACGACATCAGCAAGGCTCCTGAATTAAAACTGCCGGTTTCGATATGTCTGTTTTGCTTGCAAGCATTGTGAAAATTCTTTTCTAATAGAAGTAATGAGCACCTGTAGTTTTAAAGAACTATAACACAGATCTCATGAAATGTTGCTAGTTGTATTGTACAAATATGGCAGGTGTGACCTGGTCGCAATGCATGCGAGAGGAGCAAGCTAGAGCGGACAAGGGGAAAATTGACTCTTGTGCAACCCTACACAGCCAATCTCAGCAACTAAACTGCTCCGTGACCTGTTGTAAAACACTTTATTGAGCAGCTCAGCAAGCATGTTAATAACATGAACTTATGTAACAGTAGCTATAATGATAGTGTGAGTAATAGGTTGTTCAAACTTGAAAAGTGGCTGCCCTACTTGGCAAGATTTTTTTTTTAATTTTTAATGAAGGCCTACGTGCTGCTATGCTGTGTTTATAAGAAGCAGTGGTTGTTGCAGATCTGTAAAGCGCTATAGGCCGTGCTGAAAAGAGAGTGTGAAGCTCACACGCGCAATGTTTTCGTAGATCCCTGCATTCACCTATTCCCACTTTTCATGGAAGACGGTGCTGCTTGCGATCATTGCAGCAGCGATGAAACGATAGAGCAGATTTCTTGTCACTGCCCTCATTACAGTTAGCTGCTGCGTTAGCTCACCCTGACGACATACCTCTGTCAGAACAATCAGTGTTTGAAAGGCGACATGATCTGTCTTCACACAGAAAATCAGTGTGGGCCTTAATGAACTTTTTGCGTGGTAGTGGCCTACTGAATAGGCTATAGCACCCCAGCTCACAATTTTTTTTTTCTTTTTCGCGCGTCTATTTTGCTCTTCGCTTTATTTCTCACCTTTCTTCTCCATTCTCCCTTCCCTTAGTGCAGGGTAGCAAACCGGATGCTCCTATTTCTGGTTAACCTGCCCGCCTTTCCCTCACTTTATTCTCTCTCTTTCTCTATTCCAACTTCCGCCTTCACACATTCACATGCGCGAGCTTTATTTGATGGCTCCGCCACCTCGTAACGTCGGCTCTGTTGACACCCCAATCGTAGCCATGAAAAGAAAGAAAGAGCAAAAGCGAGGAAGAAAGAGAGAAAGAGAGAACGTAAGAAAGAAAGAGAGCCAAGAAAGAAAGAGAGAACGTAAGAAAGAAAGAAAAAAGAAAGAAAATAACAACAAAAGAGAGAACGAAAACGAGAATAAACGAACGAAAGAATGAAAAAGAGAGATAAAGAATGAAAGAGAGAGAAAGAGACAGTTACCAAAACAAAGAGGGAAAGAGAGAGAGAACGAAATAAAGAAAGAGAAAGAAAGAATGAAAGAGAGAGAAAGAAAGAGCTGCCTGCATTGGAGTGCCAACAATTGCAGCCCTGCTAATCCCTCTGATTAGCTGTGTATAATTTCGCTTTAGCTTGTGACTGACGTAGTGCGTGATCAGCACGCAGTACACCATTCAGGGAGCCTTATTAGCCGTTTGCATGTCAGCTGTAGGTTGCGTCTCGTGCAGTGCGTAAGCGATAAATGTGCACGAAACAATTGTTGCGACCTTTTTTATCGTACGCAAAAAAAAAAAAACGTGAAGATATGCGTGAGGTTGCGTGTCGCACAGAATGACAGTAGCGCAAGTGAACACATCGCCATTCGAGATATGTTCCACCTACTGCCCCCTTACCAAACAGCTCGTGTGAAATTAATTCCAACATATGGCTTGTGTTTAATGGCATAACAAATTTACATATATGTTTTTTCAATATTGACAACGCACGCCAAAATCTTTCAAGGTGAAGCAGCAGTAATTTTTGAAGTTGACTTTATTCTTTCATACGCTTGAGCAAGTGTCATGCTTGGAAATAGCAGGTTGGATATTTTCTTTTGACATTATGGGCGACTCTCACGCAGCGCATCTACCGGCATCGACACTTTCTTGACGTCCGGCTGCAGTGCCGATCCCGGTAACTTCATGTTCTACTAGTTGTGACGGTGTGAGGTACTGAAATATGCGAAATGACTGCTTGTGCATCACCAAGGGAGCTATGGAGCACAGCGGCTGTAGAAAGGTTGCGATATTTCATGCCAACACTAGACAAAAAGCCTATGCCATGGTGTGACGTCAGAGTACAGGAGTAACAGAAACTAGCCTATGTAACCATACATGTTATTACATCTTCTGGGTGCACTCATGCTTAACACTGTATTTTCTAGGGTCCTGGGAGCTTGACCAATACTTTCCTGTCAGTGCCCCTTTGAACTACCGTCAATTACAGCCACCGCAATCTCAGTATTCAAGACTCTTAAGATAATATCAAGTGAGAGATTGGCATTGGGATGTTGGGAGCACACAAGCACGTGATAAGGCTGCAGCTCAGTCTTACTACCTTAGGCACTATGCTTGGCAGTGTTCTTCGGCACTGAACGAAAAATAGACGAAATATCTGCGATCCACGTTCAACGGAAACGGGGCTGCTCGTGACAAAACTGTCACACAACAAGACACACATGGCAGGAGTGGGGAGATGAACGGAAAATTAGAACGCACAGAAAAATCAGACATATTTAGTGACATGTAAAATAAATTCATTTAGTAGATGCATAAAGTTGAGCACAAATATTTCATTAAAACGTGGCATATATATTTTCTCGCCGTATACTTTGCAAAACTGAGTTGTGGCTGTGATAGTGGCCTTTTTCTTTTAATTTAGAAATTGTGCTTAGCCATACTACGAAGGTTTGTCATAAGTATAGAAACAAATTTGCTTCTTGTAGAAGAAAATCTTCGGATATCTTTGCTGCTCATTTACCCATGTGCGATTGAGCCTTTTTTTCATGTACGAATCTAGTTATAACGGAGTTTCGGACAACAAACGTGCACTTGACATATAGTGCTTTTCTTTGTGTCCTACACGTCCCTGTATGTCGGCGCTGTGGCACATTTGGATGCATTTAGCCAACTAGTCCGAAAATCCCAGTTCACATTCTTGTAATAGCTCGCTTCGAGCCTGTGGGATAAGGAAAGAAGATGTGTACTAAACTAAAATCAATACGAAACCTTCCTGATCCAATGGACAAATCAGGTTTCGTAACATAGGCCAAATTATTATGTAGTCATGACGGTGTAATTGTGCAGGAGATAATAAGCAAATACGTCTACTGGTCCAGTGGCTGTTTGTGCCACTTCTGTCAACCATGCTTCATCTTTCATCCGGTTCAAATCCTTAATATCTATCATATCACACAGATCGCAACTCTTCTTCAATGAATTCTTCAGTTTTACGCTAAAGACCAGACAACGAACCAAATCTCACGTTGTCCGCGTCATGTGAGTGTCATCGGCACTTGAGCTCATACTGAGCACTTGAGTTCAGGAGGTCCCGATACAGGCTTTAACTTTGGGACCCCCTTTTGTATACTAAAGACATGTCACATTCTTGTATTCGTTCCAATAAAAAATCTGAAAAAAAAATCTGATCGGCGGCAGGAGAATGGAAGAAGAAGGGAACTTGCCCACAACAAGGCCACACCAGCACGCCTCCCTCCCAGCACTGCTTTTCCCAGCAATATTGGGGCACCGAAAGCCACGATCACCATTTGTTACACCATAGTTCGTTAGAATATGGTTCATGATGCCTTACTCTTTGAACTATGGCCAACATGGAAATGAAAGCATTTCAGAGGGTCTAGACAACGAGGCGTCAGAGCTTACCTGTTCACATGGCTACATCCACAAAAGAGAGAATCCGGGGCGCTGTAACGCGCCGTTGAGGAGAGAATAGAATCACGCAGTCGTCGCACAAAAGAAGGCACAGTCGTCGGCTCTATTCACTGCGCCCGCCTGGTGCCACCGAACTTAAGGTAACGAGGCCACACGCACAAACAACGCTGGAATCCTTTCCCAGTGACAAAAGGAGGACCTTGTTGAAAAAAATCCACGGGGCACCTCCGATATGAAGGAGTCGACACTCACGACACTACAATCACAAAGCACCACCTCCAGATCCCAATCATTGCGCAATAGCTCGAGAGATTTCGAACCACGCGCTGCCAGCTTTCGATGTCGCGCACAATAACACTGGAAAACTCCGCACTCCTCAACGTGGGTATCCGCAAGGGCACGCCGATGTATCCGGGAGTCACGAGCAGCTAGTGTCGCTGGAACCGCGAGGACGTGTGACGAGCACGCCGTGCCGAAGGCACGCTCGAAGCAGGCATGGCCTGCTTGACGGTGATGCGTACCACGAACGAACGAAGCACGTCGACCGGCTCGCGACTGGCAGCGTGTCTTCGGTACGCAGGTACCCCCCGAACCAACGACGGCAAGGGCGTCTTGCCTCCCTCGTTCCTCCTTTCGCCTGGTTGTTTTTCGGTTTTCCCCTCTCCTCGCTCGATGAAGAAGAAGAAGCCGTTCGTCCGGCGGAGTGGAACCATGCTCCGACGGCTGCCGGCGAAGACGTGTCTCTTCCTCCTCGCCCCAACCGCGCACCGCCGCCGCCGCCAGAACCAGTTGGGGCCTTTGTTTCTTGCTGGAAGCTCGGCTCGGGCGCTGCTGCACAATGGATGGTCTTTCTCGAGCAAGTGCACGGCTGCTGTTGCCGTAGACGCCGCTGCTTCGTGCGGCTGCCGTTCTTGTTGCTGCTCCTGCACCGGCAACGTGTACTCGTTTTTACCGTCGTCTGCTGCTCTGATTTTTCTTCTTTTTCGTTCTCCGAGCCGAAATGTGGGCGCGAGAAATCCTTTTCATTTCGTCGGGACGTAAGAGGACTTTGTTTACTCGTAGGCACGCCGCAGTTTTGAATAAGTGGCTGGCCTGCTAGGGTGGGTATCCTGTGAAGGCTTGAACAAGCATTTCATGAAAAATCATTTCATGTGCAAATGTTGTTCCATCTCTCGGTAATTGGGGCAACGAGTTTGATGCTCTGCGGGCTCACTTACGGTCTTGAAGCCAGTGGTTACTTCGATGCACTATGGGACTTGTGGGCCCGAATCCACGACACTTCTGTTTCGTAATTGCGTTTCCGTGTTGGTCAGTCGGCTTTGCTAATGATAAGTCCCGCATTGTTATTAACGAAATATTCTCTTGCGAACATTTTTTAATATAAGACGTTTTGTTTAGTACACGCGTCAAGATGGCCGCGATAGCGAATCAAAGAAATCGGGCAAAGAAGGCGAAATCTTTGCTTTGTAGACGTTTTTCATCATGCGCGTGCATAAAAACTAACTTCTGTTGTTTTTAGGTCTTCCCATCTCTTTTCTCGATGAAGAGAGAGAAGAGCGCAAGACCGATATTTGCATTCGTCCTGGCTTTTTATTTTTTCTTATCTGTCAAAAGCTGTTCCCCGTTTTGTGAGCGTGTGAGATATCTTGAGTTTGGTGTCATATGCTACTGATTTTACCAGTGGACTCCACATGCGCCAGCACTGTTTTCTAAAGCCACACATATTGTTAAGGATGGAACTGCATGCGTTTTTGGTGATGTTTAAAATGGGTAAGGTGCGCTGAACGACACGAAATCTAAAAGGAAAAAACGCTGACGCAAGTGTCTGCAGTGCTACTGCAACACATTTATTTGTTTCAAGCCACGGAAAACAGGTGCAACGTAACGCTCCATGCTCTCATAATGTGTTATGTTCTGTCGCGCGGCCACTATTTGCATCCTCCCAGCTGCGCGTGGTGTAGACTCGCTCTGCTTTATAGGTTCACCATGCTCTCTTCGAAAGACATCGCGCGAACGGGTTACTTCTCGTAAGAGGCAAAATTGATGCTTCACGTTCATTTCAAAAGTGACTTTTACAAAAGTTCGAAGTGCTAGTTTCTCTTCATGCAACGTTTTCGTGTATTCTTCCGTCTACTCGGTGGCACCACCCGAAAAAAAGGACTGCGAAAAATTCCGCGGCTGCGAGAATTTCTCGGAGGCGTCGTCTTCCTAACCGCCTCAAGATCCTCCCATGGCGTTTGTACCTGTTTGCCCCGCCGCTTTTCTAGCTGCCTCCTCAATCTTCTTTTCATTCTTCATTTTTCTTTCTCCTCCGCTAACTTCGCGCGTTTTCTAGAGCACCTTGGCGGGGACAAGACGGTAAGGAGGTGGGAGGGAAGGACAGCCGCTTCTTCCCCGCGGCGTTCGTCCTAAGCTGTCCACGTTTCAGGAGGAGTGTCCGATACCGCAGCGGAGGCTCCACTGTCTACCCCCGCAACGAACCACGACGGCAGCTGCAACGTGGAGGGGCCTCGCTGGGCTCGTCGGAGCCTCCTGGCGTGCTCGTCGATAATTACCTTTTTTTTGTTTCTTCATTTTTGGTTACTCGCTATCTCCACCCTGTTTTTTTTCTCTTGTCCCCTTTCCCTTCGTCCTCCTCCTCCTCCTCACTGGTATTCGCCCAAGTGCGAACGTTTACACCTGAGCGCTTCTAGTTTACCTCGGCTTCCTTCCACTGACATGAGCGCAGCGTAAATACGTGCAGCGTTATGAAGGTGTCAGCGTCTCCGTGATGCAGAACAAAGAAAAGGCATTATTCATTGCCGTGGCACGTGTTCCTGAGTGACTGATCAGTGACCAGTGTTCTGGCTTGAGCAGACTCATAAACCGGAAGTACAGTTCAGCTGCCAATTCCAAACACGGTCTAGCGTGAGGATAGCGGTGGCTTTCAGATGAACTGCAGGCTTACAGAGACCAATGCCTAACCAATGCATGGTTTTATCAAAGCGAAGTCCACCCAGCCGCTTGCGCTTCCCCGTTCTCTCTTTAGTTTTCCTTTCGGGCTTTCTGGATGGCTTCACCTCGGGTTGCCGTCTCCCGCTCGGCTTGCTCTATGTGTTAACGCACCGTCCGCTGTCCTGCGAACGCGTTTCGAGGTGAAAGCGTATCGGGCACGTTGTTTCGCGCGATATAAATTAATGACGTGGATAAATGAACGAGAAGCAATCAGCACAAGCAGGGGTGTGTGTGAGCTTATGCAAGGTGTCCGAATTGCCCTGTCACCACCTTCCGGGCATCGATCTCTATATAGCCGAGAGATCCGGTGAGAGAGTCAGATTGGACCTGAGAACGTGGGAAGGCGCACCCGAATGACGCTGTCCTGGCTGCGAAGAAAGATATTACAAGAACGGCGGTGTATAGCGATGAATTTGTCGTTATCGTGTAGCGATATGTTGTCATAGAAGGGGCACGCGGAGAGCTTCGAAATTAGCTGCAGTTATGACGAAATGCTGGTGTACAGGACTCTATTCATGCTGACTCCCACCACTAGCGTTAGAAACAGCGCGAAAAACAAAAATAGGCTAAAGGGGCATTGTACAGATGGATGAAGTCGCGCAAGATAGCGTGCGCGTACTTTCTGTCCTCAGCGATATCGAGAAAGACAGCGATAAGCCTATGTCGAAGTGCACGTAATTTTGTCGGCCTGCATATAGGTTCTCACACGCTACTCTGTAAATGGAAGGGTGTTATTGCGCAAAGAAAGCCCTTGTGAGCAGTAGGGTGAGACAAAACGAGGAATGGCAACAAAATGAGTGTAGAGTTTTCAGAAGGTACTATCGCACCCATTATGAGCTTCACCATGATCGCGTGGCCAAGCGTGCTGTAATGTTGTGCAGCGGCTCTGATCGTGACATGTTTTCGAGTTATCAAGGTAGGGTTCGGCTCTTCCTGCGAAGGCACGTCGCCTCGTCTTGCTTTTACACGCGCCTTCGTTTTGCCTTGTGGTGACATCAGTTTCGCAAATGATAACTCAGAGGGCGTTAGCGAGCAAGTGGGGATGATGTGCACTCGCTGGTGCAGCCAAACGCTCGCTAGATATCTCGAAATTGTGACACGGTCGATGCCACTGAACAACCTTGCAGTGCGCACTGCCAACGCGCTGGCTTGGTATAGCTGATACTGGGCTCGGTGGTACATCATCTACGACGCCAATTCCGGCAATTGAGCTCCGCCGCGGTGGTCTAGTGGCTAAGGCACTCGGCTGCTGACCCACATGGCGCGGGTTCGAATCCCGGCTGCGGCGGCTGCATTTCCGATGGAGGCGGAAATGTTGTAGGCCCGTGTGCTCAGATTTGGGTGCACGTTAAAAATCCCCAGGTGGTCGAAATTTCCGGAGCCCTCCACTACGGCGTCTCTCATAATCATATGGTGGTTTTGGGACGTTAAACCCCACAAATCAATTCCGGAAATTGATGAGCATACGAGTAGCATTCGGTTACCTTGGCTGCATGCTGCCATCAACGCACTGCAGTCTGTCTTTATTTCTCTCTCTCTCTCTCTCTTTGGCTATACATCACTGCACAGTGCATCGTAACATACTGAAGCATAAGGAAAAAAAAAAGCCTACGTTATACACAATACATTGCGAGTGCAGAGACACTCGCGTATAATGGCGGTACGACATAAAGTAGTCTGGCTCTCGCAAGATCAGAGACGCTACTGCATTTCAAGGAATGTCTTGAAGATTTTTACATGCCTAACATTGGTGGCCACTGCCATAAGTGTAAAGCACATGCTCGTTGGGCACGGATGTATTCGGTCGCAGTGCTCCCCACGACCCAGCGTGCTCATGCGCTGCATGGCTGCACCGACCGCTTCGCGTCAGTACTTGACCGAAGGTGCCCGCACAAAATACGAACACGCGAACCTTCAACAGAATACTAAATGCTCATCATCCGCAGTCAACTGGAAGTTGGTGGGGGACCACGGGTCACTACGCCGAGCACATACGCCTACAGTGCCTTGACTTTGCCCACAAAGGAATGTATGACCTGTAGCTTTTCCTCGCGACGCAGGAGTTGGGCGGCAGAGCACTGCGGTTGCGGGAAATAACGAATGGTTAGAGTCGTAGTTTTCTGTTCAAGCGAGAATCCACGCGTTGTGCTCCATCTTCGGCCCACCCGCCAGGTTCACCGTACGTCTCACATTCGTTCTGCCATTTCTCCTCTCCACGCGCATCCGTTACCGCTCACTTTCCCTCCGCTTAAGATGGAGTGCCCGCCTATCGCCCACCAGTGGGAGTCATCTACTTAAACGGAGCTGCGTTATTGTTTTAAAGTTTTATTGCGTTATTGTTTAGCCCGCTGATCAATTTCTGACCGGAAAGCATTTCACACCAGGAAGGAGGGGTTGCACGGTTCTGCTCAGGGAGATTAAAAAAAAAAAGTTTTAAACCTTCTTGGTTATGCTACGAACACCGGAGCCGACAAAAAAAAAAACAAACATCTGTCTTCCTCGTGAATAAAAGTACGACAAGTGCTGAATTTTCCTTTTTAACGTTATTCGCTTCGTGGATATTCTCTACAAGAAACCTGCAGGTCAGAAAAATATATCGCTAGTTTTCGGGCTCTCATATCGTTCGATCACTTGGTAAGTGGCTAAACATCCGGTGTTTGTCTTGCCGAGATCATTTGTCAAGGGTGCGCTTC